AGCCAACCGATAGCAGCAATCGAAACACTACTCACACGCTTGCATGTTCGCCCAGACCAACACAACCGTGGCAAGCACACCGCGCAACTCCATCGGAAAACGAGCAAATAGAGGAGACAGGAGGCGCCAGCCCAAGCTCATTAGCATGAACGCATCTTTTAGGGACCAAGCGGCATATGCCCCTACGCACCTCATGTGAAGGTTTCCAACTACGCTCAAGGTTTGCCAAGCAAACCCCTCCATGATCTTGCTTATTAAGCACCCGGTGGGAAAATATGCCTCGGCAGATGCCATTTTGTAACTTTGTGGGGGCCCACGCACGATTTTTTCGATTGACAACAACAAGCACGTGAATTCAACCAAGCCCTCACTTACTAAAAAAAAGGGAAGCCAAAATGGGCCCTACCTGCAAACTAACCAAATGAGAGGCCCCTCCCCACCCCTCCCTCTAACCAATCGCACCCTTAATCTCTTCCCAAGCTGATTCTTCAAGAAGTGGAGTCTGAGTTAGATGAAGGATGCTTGGTGAAGGATGCTGAAGCTGAGCTGTTTGCCACAATTTTCCATGATTAAAATTAAAGGAAAAGGGCCAAATATTGCACGTGTAATAATATCTTATTCCTTCAAACCGACTTAGTGCCTATATATTTATATTTGGATAGAGAAACAGGGCCAAAGCCCAAACTAATCAAATTTGAAAATAATGAGGACAAGACTTGCCCAAACTATCCCTATCAAGCCAAACAACATCATTAAGGGGACTTCCCACCCAGCAACTAGTCTAACTCCTAATAGGAAAAATTACAAGCTGTTGAAGGGATAACCCAATTTTTCTGCCCTTTCTTTTATTCTTTCTTTAGTTTTGTTTTTTTTTTTTTTGGGCTTAATAAAATTGCTTAACAAAATTATAAGTGAGACATGAAAAAGGGAGTTTTACTTTGAAAACCTAATGTTGAACAAACCTCCATCCACCCGACACACCCAACCAAATATTTTGACAACCCACACTTTGTTAGTGGCAGTCTCACCCAAGAAGGGGGTGAATTGGGTGAGTTATAAAAATTTTACGAAATTAAAACAATGAACTAATGAAAACAGAGAGTGTGAGTTAGAAAGATTTTACCGTAGAAAAGTGGACACAGAATTTATACTGGTTCGGTCTCAACCACTTGACCTACATCCAATCCTCAGAAAACCTCTGAGTATTCCACTATGTTCCAAGATTGATCAGGCTCTTGGTGCCGTAGTATAGTAATTGATACTCTCAATCACTCCCTCTTACTACCCCTAAGGTTATAATCCCACTCAAGAGTCCACACTTTTGAGTGTCACACAAGATGTGATTAATGATAGAAGATACAAACTCTCTTACAGAGTGAATAAATGATAATTACTGAAGCTCGGTGTACGGAAGAACAGAGTATTGAATGTAACAGTAAATAATCAACAGAGGGTAGCTCGCGTATTCAATCTGTTCATTTAATGCTTATTCGCGCCCTTTATAGTTGAGGTAGTTTAGTAACCGTTAGACGAAAGAGCTTCTAGCCGTTGAGAGTCCGGTTGCGTGTTTTCCCAGTTGTAACGGTTTTTGCCATTAATGCTTCTGACTAGGTAGCTTACAGGCTACTTAGACAACTGTTAGAGAGCCGTTGGGTTTCTCTTTGTAATTTGCAATAATACTTTAATTCGATAATTTTTTCTTTGCAGAATAAGATCAAAAGAAGAACCAAACAAATGATAAAATGAACATTCATAGTTTAAAAGTAGAATCAATCAGTTGTTAAATGTGCTGAGCAATAACTGAACGTGCTTGATCGAAATAATGATCGATTATCGGTTGATCGATCAGGTTATCGATTATTCAGAGTAAGAGCTTTTGAAACAAATAACTAAGTTTATCGATCAAGTGATGGATTAATGATTTATCGATCAAGTGATCAATAAAATGAAACAGTGACTTTATACTGATATGCAGAGAAAAAGAAGATGAAGGTCGCCTTTGATTTTGAATCTCTTTAAATAGAGAATTAAGACAAACATGAAGGCTGAGAAAAACTCGAATGAAATTAATGATAAATTTTGAGAAACATCGTGACTGGTTGAAGTTTAAACTGAAGTCACTCCATGATCGAACAAGTGATCGAACACTTGTTGATCGATCAGATTATCGATAAACAAAGTGTTATATAACAGAATTTAAAGCAATAATTTTCGAACACATTATCGATAAATAGATGATGGATAACCTTATCGATAAACAATAAGCAAAAAGTATATTCAGTGAAAACACAGGCTATGTAGGTTAATCGAATAGGTGATCGATTAATGAATGATCGATCAAGTGATCGGTAAAGTAAAACACAGAGATTTAATCCTACAAAGTCAAAGAACTGATTTATCGATCACGTTATGTGAAAAGCAAGGCAAACATGAAGTGCGGTGATCGATCATATTATCGATAATTTGATTATCGGTCCGGTGATCAAAGAACCATGATTTAAGAACGATGTACCGATGATCGATCATATGATCGATAATTTGCTGATCAATCAGATGATCGATAAGCTACTGAAATAAGTACCTACATGCAGAGAGTGTTATGAAGCAATGTTCGATCATATTATCGATAAATGACTGATCGATAAATGGTGACTAAAGCAAAACATAGAATGAGTAGAGCGCATTACCATTTATCTGTCTTCTCATCGATAATCTGTTTATCGATCATGTTATTAATAAATGCCTATCATATTTGTATCCCTTTATCTGACCGATGTTCGATCATCTTGATTATCAATCAAGTGATCGATAATTTACTCCAAACTTTTATACATAACTAAGTTAATAATGATCGATTAACACATTATCTAACAAGTTATCGATCAAAGTTTCTATTAAGTTACTTGATTGTACAGAGATATTATCTATCAGATGATCGATCAATATACTGAAACACAAATTTCTTACTTTGTTATCATCAAAACCTTAATCCTAACATACTTGCTATTTGGTCAAAATGCTTTTAAGACAGATATTATTTAATAATCCTCCAATCCTAAAGTGTAAATTACAATACAAAAAGAGTTTTATATTTAGAACCAAATGAGTAATTATTATTTAATATAAAATTAAAAAAATTTAATACATGTTTTAATATTTTTTTAATGGATTATTGTGTTAAATGGATTATCATATTACCAATTTAATTCATTTTATAAATACCAAATTTTTTATTTTTAATAAGTCACGTTTAACTTGGTTTAGTTATTAAAACTTGTATACATGCTGAAAATATTTTCAATTATATTATAAAATGGCATAATTTTGGAAATTCTTATATGTTATAATTCAAACTTTTTAAATGTATTTCACAAGACACGTCTTTGTTACTTAAATTTTAATTTAATGAAAATGTATAAGATATGTGTAATTAGGTCAAAGTCTCTTTTGCTCTAAAAAAATTTGGGAGAATAATATTATTAGAAATTCGAAGGTAGATTTTAGCTAAATTTAATTGAGATTTTTCCTTTACCTTGCTTCAGTTTTTAGTATATCTTTCTATTCAATCATAGTCCAGAATTAGAATTGAAGTCTTTAATAATTTTGCATTAACTTAATAAAGAAAATTATATAATCGCCAAAAATAAAAATATTTGTGAAATTGAATTGGTAAAATAAAATAGAAAACTTTCCATGCATTCTAAATATTGAAAAGAAAAAGTAATAATTGACCAATAAATATTTTTAGTACAGACATGTGCAAAAATTTAAAAAAAAACTTTATAAACATTTTGTAATTTAAATTGCACAAGAATTTAGTACAAACTATGTTATATGATTCTTTTATACCCCCGGTCCATTATTATCAGGGTGAACATTTTGCTATTTCATTGTCTTCTCGGCCATAACTAATAATTACCATCAACAGTTTTTGTCTTTTGATTACCAATCCTAATGACTCAGCCTAGTCAACAAAAATTTCTTGAACCAAAAGCCACTTCATATTTTAAGAAAAGCTACCGTAAATAGCCAAAAAAATTTGCTATATCTAGGAGTTTTCCTCCCATTCAAACACTAAAAGTTCTCCCACAGCAAATTGATGAAATATAAAGGTTCTTTGCCCATTTGTCCTGCAAAAACGATCATCACATGTGCAAAACCGATCATAACATGTTCATGCAAGAAACAAAAGATTAAGCACAAACTAGGAATAACAGAAGTCCCAAGTCCCACCTTCACATGCATGCTAGGAAAAAGCCCGGTCCTGAGGGTCTCTTGTCTTTCATCTGCAGCAAGTTTCCTCCTTGGCACACTAAGAACAAACGCAGCCAGGTCGTCAGTAGCTGCTGCTGATGTTATTGTATATCCCCTGTCCCAACGCCTGCGAATCCCTTCGCTGGGATAAATAAAATCAAGTTCAACCACCTGAAAAATTAGTCATTGGTTATTTTTTTTCAACCAAGACTAACATTATTATATAAATAAAAATAGTAAAGGGAAAGCATAAGCATGACCTGATCGCGAAATCTTGCATCCTGTGACATAACTACTGCCCACCTCACCCCTGAGGTACCCATTGCAGTAACATGGAAGCCTTCCCTCCATTTTCTGTTAATCCACTTGAAAGGAAATGAATCGCTAACTTTGAAAGATTGTTGTACATATGGTGTGCCTAGAATACATTAACTAGGTCAGGAAACTAGTTTAGTTTGTAACAAATGCCACTAGCTCTTTAATCTTTATCTGAAACTATGGACCTCTTGAATAATGAATAGGAAATATTTTGGAGAAAAAAAATTATAAATTTGGGAGGCAAATTTTTTAGAAGGCTAATGCACAGAAGCATAATAATCCACCAAAAAAAACAAAACATATATTAGAGTAACTAACCCTTGGACATTACTACTAATGAGCTCCCGTTTTTAGCTCCAGCTACTGCAGTGATGTAGTAATTTTTTTCCCACTGATCCATTATCCACTCCTTCAACAGTAAAAAACAACAAACAACAGCAAACTACTTATTACTACTAATTAATGAACTCTTAAGGATGCTGTTGCTGTCTCAAAGGTATATGAACATTTACTAGTCACATGCCCCAAATATCATTACTACCTCATGAAGAAAGTAAGGAGAGAGTTCATAAACTTGTTTTTTGAAACCGTCATCCATGATTACTGCCCATAGGTTGGAACATGAAGCCACACTGCTTATATAAAAGCCATCCTCATTTCCCTTTTGGATGAGCTGGGAAAGCCTTGCATCTGACACATCGTAGTGATATCTGCAGTGAAAATACAAGCACCCTTCAGACACAAACACCGGCGCTTAATGCTTAATATAAGAGCTCAAAAGCTAGATCAGATAGGTTGGGGAGATTAGAGATTAAAGTAAAGAAAGTGGTTAACTTGGGTACTGAGAAAATAACGGGTGAAAACATTTCTCTGCATTAGTAATCTGAGTTATTCAGAATAGAGGAGAGTACAATATATAACCCATCCAAGAGAGGTAGGGTAAATGTAGGATAAATCACAAATTTAAATATATCCTAACAATAATCATGAAATATACATATGATATGCAGAAAATAAATGAAACACAAATGAAAGTTACAATGCTGAGTGTAGGTTATAATGCTTTATATACACAGCCAAGAATCAATGCTAATCAATACTAACTCTTAACTAAATCTAATACAATATTCCTATATTATCTATACAACCGCCCCCAACACAAATAAAAAAAGGTACCAAATTTCCAATTACAAAGACACAACGCCCTTTTAGGTAACGTAAGACATTCTCTAAAGCATTAATTCTAGCGCTCCATCTCCTGAGTCTAAGGAAGTAAAAAAGGCACTAGAGGCATGGGATAGGTACAAGTACACAATGGGCAAGATAGAGGTCATGTCAAATCCACAGTGGGGAGGGTGCAAGTAAGTACACCTTTTTTGGAGGCAATAGGCAAGTCACGAGAGGGATTGTGAGGGTGGATGAGAACTTGAGTGCTCAAATCAAGATTCGCTGACAAAGTAGACTAGGCGCATCTTTGGGACATCTAGTATAGACTTATGCAATAGGTGCTTCAGGAGATCATCATTTACTTCTTCTCATGTTCGGAAGGTGCAATTCACGAAAGGTAACATATACACACATAAATAAGAGCCAAGAATAACCAAGAGATACACATTTAAGGGATTATGGGTCTAAATTGGATCTGGATCTGGATTTTGGGTCTAATTTGGTAACACGGTTGAACAACAGAGCAAACACATGAAAATCTTGGGAAATAAAGACTTGGAACGGAAAAGACTGGCATAAAGAATATAAGAATACTTATATTAGAAGAAATTTTTAAATTTATTATTTCTACGCTTGGCTTTTCCCTAAGTATTAGCAATTTGTTATGAGTTTCCTTCTCGTAAAGAAACCAAATTGGATCTTGCTTAAGTTATAATAGGATAGGGTAGCAAGCATACGCATGTATTGGAGGCTTTTGGATGAATAAAAATTTGAGCTTATGAAATCCCCTCCCTTTTAGATTCTCTCACTCCCTCCCTAAATTCTATTTTGTTATCCCTAATCTGCCCTTAGTATCAGTCTCTATCTTCTCCCCTCATTCTGTCTGTTTCTCCTTCCATTCCTCTTTGTTTCTCCATTTCTCCCTCATAATCTCTCTTTGTTTTTATCATTCTCCCTAAAATCTCCTTTGCTCCGAGTGTGTGTATGTGTGTGTTGTGCTTGGTAACTATCAAAGCAAGGAGCTAGAAACACTCACATAAAGACCCAGAGACACTCACCAAAAGACCCGAAAAACCCCAATTGTTTTCCCAGTCAAAACAACCACCACCATCATGTTCATGTTCCGCACAATCTAGCAAGAACCCTAAAACCACCCCCACGTAAAAACCTAATTTTTTCATTTCTAGAGCCCTATCTTAGATGCAAGAATTTAGGGTAAAGTTCAAGCCTTTTGCTCTTAAATCCATGTCATGACTCAAATATTTAAAGTAAAGGAAAGATGGAAAGTAGGGTTGAGAAAATCATTGCGCAAATTTGCCCCAAGTTTTTTTTTTATTTTTTGTTTTAGCAAATTTGTGTGAAAGTTTAAAATGGTAGCCTTAAAAAATTGTTAAAATTATAAAATTGAGGTTGACTATTAACACATATTCACAAATTTTTTTCCATAATACTTTGGACGCAAATTTGGACCTTAGCCCATATGCATCAAAAAGAGAAGGAGTTTTAGAAAGACCAAAGAATATAAAGCCATTTTATAGAAATGAGTAGTCATATATGCATGATCAACCTATGGGGCGTAAAAGGTGCTAAGCGCTTTGGTCATGCCATTGAAATGAATGGTTATGCGCCTAATAGACCACATCCTCGTAAGTGTGAACCAAACTTTACAAAAAAATTGACCTTCAACGGCGACAAAAAGTGGCCGCTGAAAGTATAAAAGTCACCGGTGGTGACTTGTCGCCGCTGAAAAGTCGTTGCCGTAATGACCGTGGCTGAAAACTTTCAGCAGTAACAAAAAAAGTCAGCCAGCGACAACTTTTAGAAGTTTCAACAGCGACATTTGTCACCACTGAAAGTGACTTTCAACGGTGATTTTTTTGTCGCTGCTGAAAGAACTTTTAATGGCGACAAACGAAAGTGACTTTGAGCGGCTACTTTTTTGTCACAGCAGAAAGTGATGCCTAAGAAAACTTAGCTTTACTAACGCCACATCATTGCCAACCAGATGCCATGTCATCACTAGCCACCTTCACATCGTTGCCACGTCACCCCCTCGTCGTCATGTCACTGTCCAAATATTTTCACCTTAAATGTGTTTTCTTCAAGGTTCGAATTCGTGACTACCTCCTTACATGTCCAATCTTCTTGCCATTAAGCTGAATTGAACTTGTTTATTATTATTGTAAAATAAAATATATATTACTAAATTATACTTTCAATGCCAACATTAGAAAGTCACCGCTAAAAGTCAGACTTTTAGGGACGACACTAATAGTCGCCACTGAAAGTCTATTTTCAGCGGTGACCCTAAAAAGTCACTGCTGAAAGTGAACGCTTTAGTGATAACATCACCATTAAAGGTCATATATTTAGCGGCGACCAAAAAAGTTGCCACAGTGTACTCACACTAATTTAATTATAATCATCTCTCCCTCATAAACTTAACTATGCTATCCCTTTCAATTATAATGCATTGCTCTCACACACACCATCTCACTTTCAATTATATTTTAATTACATATTACATCTCTCTCTCACACACTCTATCTCTCACTACCTTCCCATCTTTCCTTATCTCTCAAATGTACATGTCTCTCTCATGTATGCTTGCATCCCATTCCTCATGCACATTCTTAATTCTGTCTTACATATATAATTATAACATCGCTATCTCATACACACCCAACCCATTCTACCTCCTCCTTTCTCTCTCACTCACCACATTATCTCTCTCTAACTCTCCCCCTAAACATAATAATACATAAAAAAAGCTTTGGTTATGTAGAGTTAATTATATCAATAAAAACAATTATGATATAAATATAATAATCTTTAATAAAAATAATAAAAGAAATTTGAAAAACACATTCAGCGGAGACATTTTATCACCGCAGAAAGTACTTTCAGGGGCAACTATCTTGTGTCGCCACTGAAGGTATTTTCTACGGCGACAAAATGTCGCCACTGAAAGTCAACTTTGAGAGGCGAAATTATTTGTCACCGCCGAAAGTCGTCGCTGAAAGTGTTTTTTTTTTTTTGTAGTGTTAGGAATAGTCAAGGAAACTTTACAAGGTTGCCCAAAGACACCCCGGAATTTGATGGAAGACTAAATCCTAGTGTCTTCCTAGACTGGCTAGCATAATAGTCACTTTGCAAAGATGAAGCTTGTGGGACTGGCACGAAACATGGAGCAACATGGAGCAGCTAGAACAACCTCCTATCAAAAGATAAAATGAAGGCAGAGTTGAAAGAGAAGTATGTCCCAGAACCAATACCATGGCCAAAATGTATGAATATGTTTGAGATCATTATCCATAGATTGCATATGTTATGCTGCCCATAGTAATGAGTATGCTAATTATTATCAACATGAGGATGAAGTTGATGAGCGACAACTCATGAAAGAACAATTCAAAGCTAAGATAGATCATGGATGAGATGAATTGAATCATTAAATGCCTTTGTTCAGCAATCAGCAAATCACAACATAGTGACACCAAAGCAAGAATCTAATGAAATAAGTGAAAAGCTTTTAGAGGAATCAATAGTCAGTACACTAGGACACCAAAATGGAGCTACTAGCATATTCCTTGCAACAAGCTCGCTCCTATGAAACAGGCTCCTATGAACACTTCGATAGTTGAAGCAAACAAGAACTCTCATCTCGTCATACATGAGATTCTTCAAGATGAGGCTGTTCCTATTACAACACAATAGTTACCATCCCACCGAGGTCATTCCATCATCGTATGTTATCTGTTGGAAAGGCATTCCAGATATTCTCAATAATCAAGCTAATCTTTCTCTCCACGGTTTTTGCTGTCAGTATTAAGAAGGGGAGGCTGAATTGAAAGAAATCATTGTGAAATCTACAGGCAAGAATCCTGAATTGAATCAAGATTTTGAATTAATGACCAACGAAAGTGATCATTGTGTTGGAAATCTTGACGATCCAGGTGTTCAAATTCATTCAAATTCATCACATTGCACTCCTATTCTTCAAATTCATGAGAATGATTATCCTAAAGTCATTAAGGTTATGAAGGAGCATATTGTTTTCCTATCTGATGATAATCTCTACAAATCAGAATGCATGCTCTCTGCTATGGCTCATTTTCCACTACCTTGTTCACCGGAAAGGATTCCTAGATTAGATGCTACATACAAGACTTCTCTGCATTGTGTTCTATTGAGAAATGACAGAATATAAGAATACCTATATTACAAGAAAATTTTAAATTTATTATTTCTATATAAGTTGGCCTTCCTTAGGTAGTAAAGAATCAGAAATTGCCATTAAGTTTGAAACCAAACTGGACTTTGCTTCTATATTTTAGGAATTGTTAGTGGGTTGATCAACAAATGTCACAAAATACTTGAAACTACAACATAATGAACTAACTCGACTAACACGAGTGATGTACCACATTTATTAACCCTAGGCATTAGCACACAAGAGGAGGTCGTACACGACTCACAAATGATAAATGTTGAAACTGAAGTTAATGTTTCTTGAGAAGGCAATGTATTTCAAAGGGAGTCAAAACACCGAGAGGCAAGGAAATAGTATTGCCTTTCCGATAATCAATCTCTTTTCTTTGTCTTTATCGCACGATATAATGAGATAGAGAGGTGTTTGTTGGGATAGAATGAGGCAGAAAGTTGAGGCGTAAAGTAGTACTTATCATATATTTGTATCAATTCTCCCCTTTATTCTTTATTCTCTTGATTATTACGTGAAGTGGTATGGTTAAACATTGCTTTTTAAGTGATCCACTTGCTTTAACAATATTCTCATTACCCACAAAATATCATAGTTTCATTACTTTTACTCTATCTCAAATTCGTAGCTCAATATTGAAAGTTTAAAGAAACAAACAAACGTAGACTTATTTACTCTATCTCAAATCCATCTAAAATTCGTGGAAGAAAGAAACAAACAGAAGCAACATTCCCGAGCTAAAGTGGCCTTTTGGGTAACAAGGCTAAAGTGGCTTTTTTTTTTTTTTTGGTAACAAGGAAAGGCTAAGCCCCAACCAACCTTACGTCAAGGGGATTAAACCCCAACTTCTTCTTCTTCTTCGATGATGATGATGATATTATTATTATTATTATTATTATTATTATTATTATTATTATTATTTCCCTGTTTTAATTATTTGAATATTAGATTTAAATAAATTGGATAGATTAGATAATATTGATTTTATCTTTGAATCTCATTAACCAAGCTCTCAAGTCTATTAAGTTGGCGCAAGGTGCCTTTGTAGGGAGTACTAGCTCCACATGACTCAATTTCATCACACCCTACAAGTTAGAAGTTAGATGGTGTCCTTCGTCCCAATCAATCAATGTATAATATGTAGAAATCAACAATAAATGAAACATTGATGTATTTATAAGTTATAAATTTGGAGAGAAAAATTATAAATTTGGATAGCTAGCTCACCAGAAAGCAGCATGGCTTAAGACTTATATAGGTTTATGTAGGAATATATACCTTTGTTTCATGGGTCTGCGAGCAGTAAATATACTTATCCACTGTGTTGCTGGTAGATCCATTAGTAACTTTTTTCTTGGTTGTTCATCCTCTTCTTCCATGGCCAAACGATCTCTCTTATGACCAATGAGCTTCACCTAGAGTAATGATAGCTTAGAATTCAATGTTGACACCATACAATTCAAACTCGCAATAGTGAAAAAGATCATCAATACCTTTTGTGCACCTTCCGTATTAATTGGTCTACTATGTGGATTTAGACCAACAATCCCATCAAAGAGAGAAATATATTTTGCATAGTTAGGATCTTCATCAAACTTCAAATTTACTACATGTTCAACAAAATGCCTAAAAGGCTCGGGAAAGAAACCACATAAGAGCTTTGGAGTTATTTCCATCTTCTTCTTGCAAACCAAAAACCCACTTTCTCCTCCCTGACAACAACATTTTAAAAACTAATCTTCCGAAGGAAGGGGTGAGAACACCAAAACTAATTTAAAAGATGTCTAACCTTGCACCCCATCCAAGGGAGATGACCTCGAAGAAGGAAAATCAAGGTATAAGCAAGGGATTGCAGATCATCCCTCCTGCTGGCAGTTCTCCCTAAATGTGCGTGCACACTCGCATAGCTGATTGTGCCCCTAACAAATGGAATATCATGAGTCAGGAAGCCATAGTGGGTAAGGGGCCTCTAATGCCCTCCCAAATGTCTTTTTCTGTTTTTTTCCCATGTACATAAAATGATATTTATATGACATTTTAAGGGCGAGAAAATGACATGATATTGGAGGGATGATGGAGATTTGGATTTTTTTACAATTTTTCAAAAAAATAAATCATTTGTAAGGAAAAAAATGCAACATTTGTGCCCATAACATCAAAATCCCACTTATCTTATTTTAGAATAATTAATATGCACGTCAATCCAATTTTAATCAGCTCCCTATAATTTTTTTCTTTTTATTTTCGCATGTCCTCTTCTTTTTGTTTTCCTTGTAGTTTCTATTCTTTATTCTATAAATAATAAATTATTATAATAATCTCATGTTAATATTCTTTTAAAGTTTTAGTTAAACATATATATTATTTATTTTTCAATTCTAATTTTCATAATTATAAAATTCACATGATAATAATAAATATTTCTAAAATTAGAATATAATTATAAATAATTTATAGTACTAAATGACTATATTAATTATTTTGTCCAATTATATAATTATTAATTTAAAAATGAAATTAATTTTAAAGAATAAAGTTAACAAATAATTTTTTTAAAACTACAAAGGACTTAAAAAGAAATAAAGGAAGGAGCCTAATTAAAAATCATGAAACTATAATTAAAAAGACCCGGAGATTAATTAAAAAAAAAAGGAAAAAAGAGTTTTTACAAGGAAAGGTGGTAAGAAAACCTCCATGTTACCACCTCCGTGGCTTTACTCATGTTGAATACTTTCCTTATCCCCCAAACCCATGCTCCGTAAACCCCAGTTACTTCTCTTATCCTATCTTATTTAATTTTGCTTATCCTACTTATTTTTTTGAGTTCATTAAATTTTTCATATCAATCATATTCACATGAAATATATACAATAGTGATAGGGTATAATGTTATGCTAAATGTGGATAAAAGTTGTAAACATGAAGATAGAAGAACTCATTTAGGTGAACTTATCTATATGATTAAAGTTCAATCGGATATACCTAAAGTAACCTGGCATTTGGTCATACTCCACATGTGAACCTGTTAATTCATCCCGCCATCTAGAGGCTATAGGCCAAAAAAATTGAGTATTAAATGCTGCAATAAAATGGGGAAAGTCACAAAACACTAATTGAACTACCTAAAAGTACCTGATCCAAAATCAACCAGAAACAGCCTCTTTTCATCTGCGGTCCCCGGAGAACCAAGCAGAAAATTTTCAGGCTTCACATCCCCATGCACATACCTGCATTGTTTAAGTAGATATTGATCTATCAAAAGGCTGCGAGAATAGGAAATAATGCATTGATTTTCAAATACACACAGTGGCAAGCAGAACCACCCCTAATCACAGAATAAAAAACGACTACGCAAGTAAAATCGAGGGAATTACCCTCGAGAATGCATCTTCTCAAATATGGATATAGCTTCAACTGCAATGCATGCAATCATTTGAACGGACATTCTGGAATTCACAACAACTAAACTTACAAATTGAAAATTTAAAAAAGGCTGGCGCAAGGCACAAAGGTTGGTGCAAAGCATACATTTACGTCGTCTGGATTGGTTCGGACGGAGATAAAACTAAGGAAAATAGGAGGAAAACACTGCCTCTGCTCCGACCACTCTATCACTCTCGCTTTCCCATAGTAAACCTTGTTATTTAATTAATTGAGAGGAAATTTGGGAAAATTGGGGATAAATTCCTGATTGATTAAACATGGTTTGCATGAAGATTATTGCACATAGATAATGGGATGCAGGAAGTTAAGTTCCCATGTGCCCAATTAAATTTGAAACGAGGGATTTATCTAAGCTGCCTCAGACTGAAAAGAAAGGGAAAATCCAATTTTAAAATTCTAAAGCAGAAACTATTTGTTAGTTGCTTTTTGGAACTTTAAAATGAAAATTTTTTTTTTTGGGATTTTCTGGAAAAGAAATGTGATTTTAAAATAACATTTGGTTAACATCTTTTATCAACTAAGAAAAATACATCTAACTTAGGCAAAAAGAAAAAAACATTTTTATAAACTATTTGGTTTTGAAATTAACATCATGAAAATATATTTTCACCGAATAATTTGATGATGTTAATGCTAATATGGTCTTTCCTTGTGAAATTTAATTTGATTTTAAATACATTTATTTTAGTTATTTTATTTGCCCTTTTTTTTTCCCCTTTTCTCTCCATTTTCTCCCGGCCCTACTTTTCAGCTTTTCTTCCCTTCCCATCCCATCCAATCCAAACGGACGGTTAGTGGGTGTAGGCCAACTCACATATAAGTGTTAATCAACACATCCCACAAGCTAGGTCCCAGCATATCCATAACCTGCAAGCATAAAGGTCTCAAGTCACAGAGGCAATCTTCAAACATACAAGGTGAAAGGTGAAACTAGATAGAAGAAAACCAATTTAGCAACCCCAAAACTTAGAACCAAAAATGAGGAAAATGACCAAGTCACATACCATGATATAATAGCCACCTTGCCTACCCTTGTAGTATACTCTTGGCACACCATGGCTGCCACCTAGAGCGCTGGAGAAATTCCAAAGCATTTTTATTGTATGATCAATCATAAACACCAATCTACCCCACGAAACAACTAACGAAAAAAAAAGAATTAAGAATCAAGAAACAAAGGGGAAGAATAAAAAGAATCAACCATCTATCTAACTCACTCATATACTTGCCACTCCTCTGGTGGTCCATATTCATATCCTTGACTACTTTTATGCTTAAATTTCAATGCAACCTGAAAAAGATAAAAAGGATAAAAGCTGAGCTTTTCAGACATTAAACTAAGAGATAATAATTTTTAAAAAAAAAAATATCACCACTTATCCAATAATGGCAGGAGAGTTATACCTCCACAGCTTCAGGTCCAGTTGTCTCGTTCATATTTTCGCCACTAACACGGCGACCAACATATACTTGTCCAAGTCCACCCTCCCCTAGCTTTTTCCCTACTTTATACAAAGGGGAACCGCCCACCTGAACCTGTCACCATAACGAGTAAAATAGCATAGGAAAATGGGAAATTTTTCAGAAAGTAACCATGGAAAAAGGGGGGGAGGTAATTATAGAAACCAAAAGGTAATTACCTTTAATCCTGCAACTAAAAACAAAAGCTCAATAAAAAAATAAAAACAAATTCTGAGGAGCGTTGTGCCTCCAAACCAATGGGATAACAACAAAAAAGAGTACATGTGAGACAATTAAACCCAATGGTATAGTAACAGTCCAAAAGTCAGAGTCCGTAAAGTGTTTTACTTTCAACCTTTCTGTGTCAACAGAAAGACTTCATCCAAAGAATACACAACTTCTGGCAACTTCTGGTTTACGCTAAAAACTAGAAGCAAAAGAAAACATCCATTTAAGCTTTCTATGAATGTGGTATAAGACTACGCAGTCAATTCAAATTATGATTTTTATATAAAGGAGCTCCTATGTTAAAAGTGTCCAAAAGAAGTTGCTTAAAATGCATTACACTTCATAAGACAACATAATACAAACCTCAGGGAAAGGAGGGGTGTCCTGCTTATCTTCACCAGCATCGAACTTATCGCTGCTCCAAGAACCACTATCATCAAGACCCATTTTCCCCTCCGCTGTTTCTTCCACCACTGGCTCTGCTACCGCTCTTCTCTTCCTTTACCTTCTCACAATTGCTCCTTCGGATGAGGTTGCTGCTGCTCAGCCCCTGCCCACTCAACTAGCCGTTCACTCTCAGGAAGGGGAAAAAGAGTTAATTTTGGGGGGCGGGGGGGAGGAGATGAACCGGAGGGAATGCTTCCAAAGATAAAAGATCAATGAATATAGAGTGAGGAAATAAAAACAGAGGGGAGGATAGGTCTCTAAAGACCGGGGAAAGATTGAGGAGGATGGAAGGACCCCGGAAGTCGACGGCGGCGATGGATGATGGGATCAGGGCAAGAGGTGAATGGGAAATTGGAAAAAGTTAAAATGTAAAACTGTAAAAGAAGAAATTTTTTATTTAATTTACTTTTTAAGAGCTCGACTTTTATGCTCTGCTTGGATTTGCTCCGCGGGTATGAGAAGAGGTTTAGAACTAGTTTATCTCTTACCAGTCGGGAGCAGATGAGAAAAGGCCAGGCACTGAAGACTTGCAACGACCAACAAAACGGTCAGAGTAGATCGAATGGGAATCTGTGCAAAACAAAAAGGTGTCACGCGAGAGGAGACATGGAGCACTAGGGGAGGGACATTTGGGTGTTTGGTGGGTGCCTTGCAAACTGAAAGTTTAGATGCATTATAAACATATAATCAAGTAAAAGAAGGAGGGAAGATATCAAGAAAAATGATCATAGTATTTTAAGAAAAACTTAGTTAATTAGTTAAATAATTTTTTATAATTAACTAACTTACCTAACTTCTTTAATCTAATCAAATTAGTTAAATAGATCTTATATTAAGAAGTATTAAGGAGTGGAGGAGTATTATTTAGTGGAGTCATTGAGTAGGTGTTTTGCAAACATTCACTTTATACTTCTCCGCCGTTTTCCAGTTTCTTATTTGTTCAGTTTTCCCTCATTTCATTCTGCTTTCAAAATTACATAAATTTTTTTTTTTTATGATCCTGTCTCCTCTACTAGAATTTTTTTTTTTCATGGTCTTATATTTAGGACCAAAACCCCAATTATATTAAGTACCAGAATAGTAGTATATACCTCCTCAAGTTTCTCATCAAATATCTGGTAAGAGATTGAAAAACCAGAAAATGGACAACAATATCATCAAAAACAGCAATGCCTAACTATACTCGTCGTACAACAGTGTTTAACCATTCAACATCACCTAGGATTATCAATACCTGATCGTAAACAACCCCCCTCCCTAAAAGAAAAAAAATCGATCAGATTTAACTTCAATACAGCTATATTTCAGCAAATAACGTAACATAAAAATAAAGAATAGACTAATAAACTTGAACCTCCCCGCTGAAAATTGCAAGTCTTTGCTGGCGCTTACAATGGATCTAAATCCAGCCTACAAAGAGAAGCACAAGATGAATCAGGAAAATCAAAAGCCACGTGTTCCTTAAAGTTGCACATTAAGGGTGTAAGTTATTAACTCAGATTATATTTTTAATAAAGGCATTCAAAACCTAGATGATGGAGCAAACTGGCTGAACAAGGTCATGTATGACACAACAAAACATGATCTTTTTAGGTCAAAGTTAACAGCAAACAAAGAAACATGAAACCAGAGGTCCAAACACAAAGCAATTTGTTACAAATATATAAAAGCAAAAAGTGAGTCGGTCATCGCATCTAACTCAGTCAGAGGCAATAGGCCTGCCGTGAAACGTGGAATTGTATTGATCAACTTAATCCCAACATTATCTAATTGCAAACGCCAAAACTGAATCAATCTCACATGTCAACAGAATATAATCTTACAGATTCTAAATGTTGACTTAAATAGTTTAATATGTCCCATAAGATATAACAAATTACCTCAGCTTGACCATAACTACTTTTTTATCTATAAACTATCAGTTCAAATGAAGGTGGAAGAAAATAACGCATATGACTCACAAAGGTTATCAACCTTCAGCCAAATAACATTATTACCTGTGTCTATGTTATAGAACATGTTGAATGGAAGGGGGGAAAGAACCCCATTCTCAAATGAAGATATCCAATGAGTTAGGCATAGTTTTCCACAAGTGCAATTTGCAGGACACATCAAATGTTTTCACTTTTGGTTTAAAATAAATGAGTATCATATGCCTTCCTTTTTCAATTGCAATTAAGAATAAGAAAAACAGAGCAAGCTGGCCAATAAGAAGGGCATATCATACAAGGAAGCTCCTACGGATAAGTTGCCAAAGGCTAATTCTGCCTCAATTGGAAGTTGAAAATTTATTGGGGCCCAGGATTGTTTATAACGGACCTAGAAAGCCTTTCTTTTTTTTAAAAAAAAAAAAGTACCACTTAGCAAAACTGCTGCGTTTTGCTAAGTGGGGGAAGGGAGACATCTCCGGCGAAGTTCTTCTGGAGGTTCAAGATAACCTCCAGCCTGGTCGGTCCCGGTTGCAGACCCGGCACGATTCTTCTTTCCTCTCTAGGAAGTCCAAATTTCTTGTTTTTGGCGTCATTACCCAAGAACGAAAAACTAAACATTCTGTTATCACTTATTATGAATCTCATGCCTCCATGTCTACACTTTTTTCTGTACGTAACTCAATTTCACGTTCCATGAAGGCAGCAAACAACTCTGTATTACTCAAAATAAAAGAGAGGATTTGAAGCAAATCTCATCATTGTCCAACTAAACTCAAATCAAGAAATATAAATGGAGCAGTTAAAAAAAAAAAAATAGAGGCCACAGACAAAACCTGTATCCACTGAGGGGATTTTCGGACGTAACTAGAGGTGATATTGGCTATTTTTTGCCTAGATACGAAGTCTGACTTAGGATTTACAGCAAGCAAATACAGAGAGCAAGAGTTTTGGAGAGAAATTTTTTTATCGGGGAAAAGGAGCAGTCACTCAGCCTGTTTTATCCCTCATCACGCATATGCATCCCGATAACTTTCCCACCAAAATTCAAAATGACTAACAATTTCACTCAATCCATTTTAGTATGTCCCGATAACTGTTCCAACAATTCCAATTACTTTATTTCATCACTATTTCACTCAATCCATTTTAGTATCTCCAACACAATCATTCAAAAAAAAAAAAAACAGAAAGCACAAACACATCGAAACCATTTTTTAGTAGCAAGCATACAAGCCAAGAGTTTCAATGGAGAGCAGAACAGAATTCTTGATATTGTAATCAACTGATCACATGCGTTTTTAGTTTTAATGTTGGTTTTTTATTCCAAATTAAAATCCTACCCTCATTTCTCTAGCAAACTAACACCAAAATGAAGAAGAATTGATTGAAACAACCAGGCCCTCCGTAGATCCAAAAGATCACTCGTCCCCAAAAAAAAAAAAAAAAAAAGGAACACACATAAAAGGCACTGCGAGCTAGCTGAGAGAAGAAAGTGCAAGGGAAAACAAAAAGTCGCAAGAAAAAGTGGCACCCCTTGGGTCAAAATGGGAGAAGAGTAAAACCTTCTCATAACTTTCATCTCCATTTACTCAAGAAAAAGGAAGACGTGAGGATGTAGAGAAACAGGTGGAGAAGAAGATTTCAACTAAATATCAAACCAACTCTTGGTACGCAGAAAAGAAGACCTCCGATTATTCAGAAATTTTTTTTAAAGGAAAATGCAGACCTTGCATGCAGAGATCAGCCACCAAGCACTGCAGAAGAAAAGAAGACCGGGCGGCTAGAGAAGGGGAGAAGAGGCGCAAGATGGGAGAAGAAAGAGAGAGGGGAATCCGGCAGCTCAGTTAAAACTTTAAATGCGCATAAATGCAAATCCCGGCGCTTCCTTCAGACAATGTTTTGGCGGGGATATAGGGGGTACTGGCAGGTGAAAAATTGTACCTTGCATTTAATGATCCTCAAAAAAGAAATACCCTATAGCTCTTTCTGCATAACTTTAGATAACTTCAAAAAAGTTGATGAGAAACCAAGCATCTATTTGAGTGGTCCTCAAAACCATAATTTGGGAGGTAGAATTATGATTTAGGTGGAATGTCATCTAAATAATATTAATTTTATGTCAATAATCTAAAATCATAGTTTGGATCAAAATCATATAGTTTTGGAATCCAAAACCATAGTTTCAGGAGAAGTGAATCCATTCTAGCTCAAATTGGAGAGTATGATTGTGTCTGTCATAGTAGATTTCAATAATAATATGACTTTAACATTTCTCAATTATTTTTTATAAACATATTTAATCTTATATCTTATAAACATATATACACATATTAGTTATTTATTAATTACATTATCTTATGTATTATTAATTATGTTGATAAAAAATATATTATTAACAATTTTATTCGTTCAAATTAAAATATATCATAAAATATATATATTATGTAATTATCATATTAACTTATATTTTTTAAATAATTTGTATATATAAAAAGTGCTTCTAATAATAACTATCCAAATACTCTCACTCTTCATAATCACTTTTTTATAAAATATATTCTCCACAAAATCTATTTTTCTTAAAATCTATTCTTTAAACCATAATTTGGTTTTATTCAAATACTTTCCAAGTCTAAAAGCATTGCCAATGAAAAACACAGAGCAACCAACTGCAGTCCCCACTCCCAACCTCTTCGCCTCTACTGACATTCAGCGACCATAAAGCTCTCCACTGCAAGGATTGATCCATAAATTCGTCAGGCGTCATCATGGGACTTAGAGTGAGGCGGACACTCAGGTCTTGGAATTGGGGAAGTTGAGAGTAAGGCACGAGTGTGTCTTTATTTATTTGTTTTTTTTTTGGCCGGCGAGTGCGGGGTGTCTTTCTACACAAAGTCCCTTTAATATTGTCTTTCTCCGCTTCAAGTTGATAATGCAAACCCCTCACCTGGCCCTTGGTGCCCTTGACGCGCTTACCGGGAGCACGAGAAACTCCCCAGAGCACCACATCATCTAGCATTGCCTAATAAAATCACAGTAGATGTCTATCCTAAGAACGATGTTCCTTTA